TGGATTTTTTTCAATTGACCTAATCCTTCCTGCAGCACTATGGCCCTGGGGTTCACTCAGCCTCTAACAGAAATGAGTACCTGGAATTAATTAAATAATTTTCCTGGGGAGTAAAGCGCGGCAGGCGCGTAAGGCTGACAACTTTATCGCCATCTTTGAGCCGATTTTCTAGATAATGTGGGACCCTCAACGTCTCAGAACCCTATGGGCCTCAGAGGCCTGTTACAGGGATAGCTTTACCATTACAGGTCACTTCATCTCTCTTCCGTCCAATTATTCTCTTAAACTCCCTGTTCTCAAACACCCTCAGTCTACNTAGAGAAATGAGGTAACAAAGCAACTGTGAAAATTATATAAACACAGTTTTCTTAATCTTCTTCTATTCTAAGGGTGATTAAGGTAGCAGGGTCACTTACAACGTAGGAACTTAAGAACTTCAAACCATGGGACTTCTTTCCGTGGCAAGTTTATAGTTTCAGATGAGAGGAAAACGTGAACACCGGTCATGAAAGAAATATGAAATGAGGGCCTGGATTGAATTCATCTGGCTCAAGACACAGAATAAGGTGAAATTCTTGTGAACACAATAATGAAACTTCTGGTCCCATAGAAGGCAGGGAATTTCACGTCTAGCTGGGCAACTACTATTGTCTTCTGGAGGGCTATACTATTTGGAATTCGTTGATTTGTTCGCTATTCTTCACCTAATGTTATTAACACGATCAAACGGAGAGGGAGAAGAGTGAGGAAAATGAGAAATGCATACATTTCCAGTATAACCCCCCCCCCAACAAAGGAGAGAGTTTAAGAGGCCAGTGCATATATAGGGATATCTTATTGGAATGACTCTTGTAAAAACAATGTGAAATTTCGGACTGGAGCGAACGCTTTGGCTTCTTTTTTTGCGTAATTTTGAGCATATGGTACAGTTCCCTCGTTTTTTCTAAAGCCAAGTAATTTCTGGAGCAGATGAATGTCCTTAAAATTTTTACGAAGGACACTGCACCATGGACGTAGCCAGTCAGATTAAGGATAGAACTAACTATAAGGTTAGGAAAATCAGACTTAATTTCCCCTATTTTGTTGTCTCATACTTTGAGATAGGTCCATATACCAGAATATTTACTATACACACAGAATAATGCATTAGTCGTTTAATAAATGTGTAAAATGGAAGCTTAAATTTCACTTATATTGCCTTACCCTACCTTCAAAGAGTGACCTGCATAAGCTCTTTGGGAGATACACAAAGCTCAGTTGTTTTATTGCGTTATTTACTTAAATAATGGGAACAGCTCAATGAATTTCATCACTTCCACCACAAATCGTGTCAAAACATATATTTATTCTAGCCAACAAAATAAAAACAATCTCTTTACTTTCCAGAAGCCCTTACTTTTACCCTCATAATATTCTGGTCACGTATCCCACATTTTGACCCCGAAATAGGAGGCTGTGGTGATAAACTGACGGAAGAAATAGGGCGGGAGAAGTATTTAAAATGCTGCTTGCAGCTTGGCAGCCTTTTAACTGAGAATGATTCAGAGTCACAGAGTGTGCAGTCAATAGACACTTCACCGTGGAGACAGGCTGGGGGACACACGCAAACAGTGAAGCAGGAACGGGTCTTCAATAGCCATTATGGCATCGCACATCTCTGCTAACTCTATGGAGCAGAGCGCTTCTACGGAAGGCGATAATCCGATAGACATTTAAGAAATGAACCCAAAGGTTCATAGCCAGGTACGCCAATGCCCGCCACTGGACACTATCATCAGGAAGATGAACCAAATGCAGCATCTCACATCCTATATAAGTCAATTTTCTGTTAAGATTTGAAGTTTTTATGGTGACTATGAAGAATTCCGTCTTCTTGAATGTGGCGCCTTGCAGATATAATGTGAACCGACGTTTCGAAGGCATGTATCGCCTCCATCTTCAGTGTAGAAAAATCCGCGAGCGAGGAACCAGCATGAGCAGGTGGCTGCAACTGATGCAAGCGGCAATGTGTTTACCGAATCGTTGCCTAGAAAAGGGTCTATACGTCACAATATATTGCTATAACGTATATATGCAATGACTTAGTAACTTGCTAATTGAGAGTAATTTTTCAATTGGTTGGATAAAGAGCAGCGCGGATGTTTGTTCATCCTCCTGCTCTACGCGTACAGAGGCGTAATGTTGTCATGTTCTATTAACGGAGAACCAAAGTTTGTGAACAGCAAGGTCACATAATGGTAAGAGGAACTCTTTTGATAATATAAAATTTAAAAGGAACTAGAAGTTCATGTAAGTCCACGAAACTGAAGCTCCTCATTCATATTGGATGCGGACTGCTAAGAGGGTCTGAACTAACGGTGGAAGTGGAAGGTCACGATACTGGACTGTGGGAACTTCACAATTTCAAACAATTCTCCAATTAATTATTTATAAATTTGCATGCTACTGTAATTCTACCTATACTCTTCGTGTTTCCAGAAAAATTAAAGATTTCAATAGGCTACTGGACTGCTATTTGAACGAAACCCTGACTTTAGAAGCAACTGCAGAATTTCATGGTGTTTTTCAGTCCCTCCAGGCGAATGCCGTGTTAGGAATTCCAAATGCGCCATAAGTGAATCATCCCTAATTCTTACATACTCGTCACAGTCCCCTCTAATTAGATGCTATATAACCTCTACGTTGAAACAGTGTCGTTATATAAACCACGAATAAATAAATCAAGATGGCAAATTGCAGTTGATAGTTAGCACTATCGCTTCGTATTTGGAAATTTCATGTTCGATTTTCGGTTCAAACATCAGCTTCATCGATTAAAACCTTCCCAATTCTTCTATGCTTCCCATTCATATTCATCCGATTCATTAGGAACAATGTTGCCAAATAAGTAAAGAATCGATGAATCTATAAGCGAGGATAAATCGAAAGAAAAATCAGACGCTTTCAGTTTGAATCATTCGTGTAGGACAGGGATCTCCTGCCTCTGAGCGCACTGGTCACGGTTGCGAAGGGCATGAGCGCGATCAGCTGGAAAGACTCATCACAGAATTTCATGATCAAATGAAGGAGGGTGCCATGGTGTGCGCTTGGGAAAGATGGGAAATAATACATAATTTTGGTCAGAAACTCTGAAGAAAGAAAGTATCACTAGGAATATATAAGCGTACATGGGAGTATATATATATATATAACTTGTAAAATATACTTGGAAAATTGGGTAGAAGATTGTTCACAATTCGTATGGCTGGGGTTAGGGACCGATGTCTAACTCCTGTGAATATGGCAATGATCTATTTGAGAATCTCGCAACGCTGTTTGTAAAGAGTAACACTTTCTGGAGTACAACGCCGTTTTGTTGGTTGAAACTCAACAGACGTTTCGGAGGGACGCGTCTCTTCTAACCACAGGATCGAAGAATATGCTAAGCAAAAAACTAGGATGAAGCAAGTAACAATTGCTTCAGCCCTATAGATGAAGGCGAAATTTTCATCCGAAATATCCTTCCTGACCTGCCACTTTCGAGTGTCAGCTGGGACAACGGCCATCCTGACCGAGGGATGTTATCTCAGATTAGGCCCTAAGAGCTTCCTTTAACATTACAGTTCACTATGCATCCCACCATCTCAAGCTGCGTAGCTTCAGCTCTTCATTGCGTTGTCAAATCACATATAAAAACGAGAATTATCGATTATTTGTGTTGTACGAGAAAGACGACAGTGTTAACATAGAACTACCAAATTCCAACATTTTAACTAATGATACATAAAATGCACATTACTGAAGAGATAACACGTAAAGTTATTCCTGTAACAGGCCTCACAGGCCCACAAGATTGTGGGACGTCGAGGCTCCCAAATTTTCTACACAATCGGCTCACAGATTACAAAGAAAAACACCTCCAGGCATGCTAAAATTCTCAGGAGTAATAGCCATACATACATATGCCTTTATATGGATCCGAATGCCTCACGTTGGTCAAAGAAGAAATCAGAAGATGGAGAAAGTAGACATGTTTTTTTCTCAAAGGAGTATCAGAGTACAGAAATACCATAAATGTAATTCAAGATAATACAGAACAACAGCAAGTACAGATACCAACGCTATAAGAAACAAGAAGCTCTGGGAAGAACTAATGGACTACTTTCCTTCGATAGGACATGGACCGCATAGAAAACGATGCTTCCAACAATTCTTCGTTGCCGAAGGGAACGTCTGTACCGAGTTGTAATTTGGCAAACTCAGAGAGACCCATGGACACACGAGTCCAACAGTTCTTCTGTTGTGTGTATTCTTTGTCGTGGGATGCTGTTTACCGAGCTGTTGCCTAGCAATAAAACGGGGGATACATTTTACCGAGTCTTTGTTAGCAACGGTAGAAGGGATACACATACAGACACACAGACTGATGGGAGGGATTCATGAAGTACGCCGCTGGAATGGGCTCAGTTGCCATAGTACATATACCAAGTTTCATGAAGATTGAGTGAGGTATTCAAAGGTTAACAGGGGGCATTAACAGACATACAGAGAGCATGGAGACTGCATTAGTCTGCTTTAGGAAAACAGGCTAAAAGCTATCAATAATGTGGCTAAAATATTAGGAGCCTAATTACAATGATTCTGTCAAACTATATCAAAGGATTAGAAGCTGGCAGGAAGTCCGACAAAAAGATGGAAGGAAAGAAATTGTCCTTCTGAAGTGAAAGTAAATTATCGGGAATGTTTTGTGGGGGAAATATCAAAGTATGATTAACGTTCATTACAATCTTACGCATTCTCTAATCACTGTTGAAATTTCAACAAGCACTCCACCAGCATTCTCTACAGAACACACCATTCAGCGTTTCTGGGAACAGAATTCATGTCACCATTTACACTCAGGTTATATAAGATAAGATTGTTACGATTAAACTTGCAGGATGCGTGAACGAAGTGACAGTAGCACTAACATTTTACTAGGCGAGTACGAGAGGCTGCTACATCACAGTGCTGCCACCTACCTTAGCGACATCCGTTTTCTCGTCCCCGTCTACAGTTTGCTGCGCACGCGTCACTGTCTGTGCCTGCTGTGACGTAGGCGTCTGTAGAGACGACGATATAGATGATGATGATGACGTCGTCGGTGGAAATTTTCGGTCTGCAGCGACATCGGGCGGCGTTTTTATGAACTCGATTCGTCCTCCCTCGACGCATATGTTGGGGGTAAGTGGGTATGTCGGTAGAGGCGGCGGCGCCGGGTAGCTGGGAGGATCCAGAGGCAGTGCCGAGGACGTCGCTAGGATCGCTGCCGACGCCGGTTTGTTCTCGTACGCTAGGATCTGTGTTCTGTCTTCACATACAGGGTGGATCTGCCTGTGAAACAGAGACCTGAGGTTTTCAAGGTGACCTCGTCAACTGCAGACTGTGTCGAAATGACAAGACTTAAAGAAATTGTTGTTTTGTGTGTGTGTGTGTGTAAGAAACTTCACAGAAAGAATAATTTCATTCTTAACTCCTTTCCCTAAAATCGGACGTACCTTCAAGATTTTGGTAGTGCTACAAGGTTAAAGGCCTCATAGCTTTAAACAGACAAGGCTACTTGAGCAAGTGAATATAACAGAACCTCGAAATATTCCTTAAAAGTTAAGACATTCTGCTATAGAACTTGAATAGTAAACGTTAAACGTATGACCTTGGGGAAGAGTAAAAATGGATGTTCTTCGGAAAATTCCTTCTTGGCAAAAGAACATGACCAATGTAGTGTTGACTTAATTTAGTACTACTGGCTTGTACAAACACTTTGCCTTCACTTTGTTCAAAAATATTATAATTTAATCTGTGTCGCAGTTAACTGCGTTTAAACTTTGTTCTCTCTTATTTATTTGACCGCAGCCAATATATGTATATACAGATACGCTGTTTTCGTATATTACACAAGATTTCCTAAGTACATAAAGATTTTATAAGGACAGATTAAACATATCACTAACTACCAATAGAACCTCCGTCGAGTGTAACAATATATATTCTTGTCACCATTTCCTCACATCCGCCTTACATGTTTCGGCTCACAAAGAGCCATCATCAGAGGCATCCACAACAAAAATATGGAAACACTTGCACTGCTCAACAATCACAATATACAGTTTTTTGTGGAAGATGTTACACGTATCGGAGCGTAAAACACAACAACATCTAGTACCCCGAGTGCGGGTATCCCACTTGCATTTAAAAAATCACCCACAAAGCGGGTCGTTAATGTTAAAATTAAAGTTAAAACCGTCCAAGTAAAATATTCAGGTTCCTCTTAGTGGATTGTCCCAATGGGGGAGGCGTCAGCACGAGGTTGCGTGGGCTTGTGGTCGGCTGTGTCCGACGCGTAGTGTATTGTGTAGTNAAATAATAGTCCAGGGCCGCACTTCAGAATGGAAATATACATTAGATTTTGATACAAGGAAATTTAATTCTATTTATTATTTAGGAATAATTTCATTATAATTACCTAAAGTCACATATCTTACAGTTTTAAAAAGCAAGAGAATGCCATTTTTGAGAAGTATCAAACAGCTTTTCAATATGTAAAAAGAGAGATTACACAAGAAATTATGTTAGAAATAACAAAACATTGAATTTCCTGCAGCCTGCTAATTTATGTCTGCGTGAGACTTCTTGTCTTCTGGTCTGTTGCAAAATTGTTTTTACAAAAAATATTTCTAGTAAAATTTTAATATTGATTTTAATATCAATTAGCTCTAAAAGTTGAGGGGCCGCATGTTTGACACGGCTGCTCTAGGACAAGGGGCGGTATGGTCACCCGCACCCAGAAAGTTCAGTTCAGGTGTTACAAATAACACGATCCTTCGTGAAGTCTTATTTTATTACAGGTAGAACAGGACTATAAATGGCACTTTAACCGATACGTTTTAAGAGAAAACCAATATTTTGGTAATCAGTGATAAATAAAGCTGCTATTTCAACTTACGTAGCTCTAGATTCAGAATAAAGCTGGTCTTAACACTCTGAAAGCACAATCAGAATGTAAAATACTGTAACCATATTTCTTATTAATGAAGTTGTTTGTGAATTCTACTAACTCCTAAGGTACGTTCTTTTAGCGAGAGAATTTTGTAGATGTCTATAATCATATGCAACTGTAGAATTTTTCCGCGATCGTCCTGATCCGCCAGTCATTTCGATATAACACCATCGGATCCCAAGCACAAGCAACTGTCAGCAGTCTAGAACAATTAATTCCTTCCACAACTGAGGACAAGAGACTTGAATTTGTAATGAACGTGAATATCGACGTTCTTTTGTGAAAATACATTAGTTTTCTCAATTCATTTCCTGGAATCAAACCCTATACACCTCCATAAATGAAAATGATTCTTTCGTACAGCTCAAGGCAGATGACCAGTGGTTCCTGCACTGCTGGGGCGCCTAACTGTGGCCGTGGCTGTAATAGTGAGGGAAGGCAAGCAGACGAAACCATAGTACTTCCTTGGCTACCCTCTTCCCCGCAAGTCATATCAGACCGCAGAGCAGCATGAATACAGGAGCAATATCAATATATTGAAAAAAATATAACGAAAGTTACAGATTATTCATTGACGTGAGGAAGTGCCGACATTTACCTAGGCGAAGCGGCGGTCCGAGATGGTTTGTTGTCAGCAGCATCACCCTGTAGCGTGGGCTCCGCCTTGCCCTGCCCCACGCGACGCCCACTGGATGCCCTGCAACAAACACATTTGCGTCACACCCGTTGCCAGGTGACCGTAGACTTGGGGTTCAGTATCGGTCGATTAGGAGGAGGACCAGTAATTGCAATCACTACTTTTGGGACAGTCACTGTATAACGTTAGGAAGAGGTTCACACGTCGCAGCGGGAGTACCAAGTCCGACCGCACAACAGGGGTCCTAGGTTCCTAAACTTGTTTATCATAGGAAGAGGAGTGAGGAAAGCTTGTGTTCCAGGTTACAGTTTCTGACGTTTTCAATACTTAACGACACTTTCAGTTGCAGGTATTACACAGCTTCGACTGAGATGGTAAGACGATCACTACTGCCGAAGAGACAGAACAGACAGACGGTTGAATGTTATAGCAACTGAGATGGGCAGGCAGGCAACATGCAGAAGATAAGATTCTTGCCCTACTATTCCAGATGCCAATTATAAAGTGAGTAAATGCAAAAATAAAATAGAAGCACACAAACAAAATAAAAAACAACAACAATAATAATAATAATAATAATAATAATAATAATAATAATAAATGTATATGTATTGAAAAGACACATGTCAAGATTATACGAGTACATATTTTGATACGTCCGCTATAAGCCACAGTTTTGGAGCCAGGATAGATGACCGTTGTGAGGTAAAGGCTCAGTAAACACGTCTCCTTGGCAACGAACATGCACATGCAACCACAGAAGAGCGACTAANCACTTAAATATACTGTGGTCCATAGAAAGCCATTGCCTTGTGTGTAAATTGCAACTTTAACAGCCTCCTACTGATACATGTAATAAACTCCACCATACTTCTTACATTCGTGTACGAGAGTAATCTTAACGTGTGTAGGGGCCTGTAAAAGCAATGGTACTCGTGTAACACACACACACACACACACACACACGAGTTGGTTTACGATTGACTACAGGCCCATGCGATTGTAGGGATTCGCAGTGGACGTAGTTCGCTCGGTGTGTGACAGATGGCAGTAATCGTCAGAGGGCCTCGACGTATACATACTTTGTTTCTATAGCCTTTCTTCCTTTCATTTTTTCTTTCGTTCCTGTTTTCTTTCCCCCCACCCCAACGAAATTGTGGTGATGTACAGGTTCAGGTGACCCCAACTGGAACCTATAGTCATAACCGTGTTTAGCGTATAATTTCAAGGAAGCCTTTTTAATAATATGCAAAATATTTTAGGGTGCGACTCAACGACTGCCTTCAAGTGACCAAAACCGTGACAGGAGGGATATTTAGTATGTTTATGGTACTGCTCTAGCAATACGCTCGAGGAACTGGGGAAATCTATGCAAAATCTCAAGTCACGAGAGCCAATAACCGTGCCGATATTCGAACTAGTTGCCTCGCGAATGAGAAGCAGAAGTGCTGGTCAAAATATGAAGAGGCTTCGTTGTTTCAGAAAGAGTTTTCGTAATTTTCTTACATCCAGCATTACGAAACTGCAGATCAACCCCCGTATCAATGAATAATCATGATTCTCATTCCACAAAAACGTAAGGCGGTACGGGAGAAAGAAACTATCATAATTTCATGTCTCTGTCTGTGGAGTTGCTGCTGGTGTGAATGCAATCGCTTGAACATTCCGACAGTTTCCTTCAATGCTAAATGCCTGTCTTGCCTTTCAAAATGAATTAAGTGCACTACAATCTGTAATTTGATAAGTTAGAATGTTGCTATGATTTATGACTGAACATATGATTCGCTTAACCCATGGCTCTACACCCCCCTTGGGGGTGATAATTTTACAGACGGCAGGACTCCTTGTACGGGTGATCAGCTCGTCGCAAGGCCTCTACCTAAACACAGGACAACACAAACAGAGAATAAACACATACACACACCAAACATCCATGCCTTGTGTGGGATTCGAACCCA